GACATCAGGAGGCGCGACTTCACGGTCAGGGCAGCTAGGATCTGGGACCAACTTCCAAGAGAAGTGGTGCTCGCTCCTACCCTGGGGGGCTTTAAGAGGAGGTTAGATGACCACCTTGCTGGGGTCGTTTGACCCCAGTACTCTTTCCTGCCATGGCAGGGGGTCGGACTAGATGATCTGCTCAGGTCCCTTCCGACCCTAGAAACTATGAAACTATGGTGCCAAGGGCGTTCCCCGCACAGCTTTCAAAGCCAACAAGGCTGTGAAGGTCGCAGCGGTTCTAGACGCTGCGTTGCATGAAGGGGAAGGGGGCTGAGAACGTGCGGGGGTTGGATGTGCTCTTGCATTTAAACGTGGATATGAAAACTGGGGAAACTGAGGCACGATGAGGTGGTGTATTTTACAAAGCAGTCACAAAGGGCTCAAGTGCAGAGCCAGCTCTACAGCCCAGGTGTCCTGGCTCTCCAAGGGTCCCCAAAACCCAACTACCTCTAGAGCCCCAGTGTCCTGGCTCCCCAGGGGTCCCCAAAACCCAACCAGCTGTTGAACCCAGGTGTCCAGGCTCCCCACAGGGCCAAGCTCCTTGAAGAGTTAACACCGAACACTTGCTCCTTCCTCTAAAAGCGAGGCGATGACGCAAGCTCTCTGCCATCCCAGGGCCTCCAACTGGTTATGTCACTCTACCTCCTGCGAGTAAACTTAGCTAACCAGCCTCTTGGCTCCCTGTCTGGGCATATCCCCACTCGGGGAGGGGCGGGCGCGGGTGCCACTGGCTGCATGGCAGTTCCCAGGCCTCTGCGCCGTGTCCTGGGCAGGGGCAGCTAAAAATACAAGGCCCCACACAGCGCAGCGCAGCACCCCTGAGTGACAGGCTCCTTGGAGCCCAGCCCGCTCCTAATCCTTTAATGTCTCGTTTCCATCCAGGGAGGCAGCTGTTAATACAGATCTGGGGAGGGTGCTGACATGGGTTCCTGTCCCCGAGAAGGGAGCTGCTAATCTCCTTGTGTGACTGCGGCACCAAGGAAGAGGATTCCCGGCCCTGGAAGAATCCCTCCATCCTAGGCCGGGGGTGCTAGCTTTAATCACAGGCAACGAGGGCTGAAAGGGAGCTCAGGAGGTCACATCCACGCCAACCCCCTGCTCCAAGCAGGAGCAGCCCCAACTGCATCATCCCAGCCAAGGCTTGGTCTACTAGAGTCATAAAAACCTCCAAGGCTGGAGATCCTAGAACCTCTCTGGGTAACCCATTCATTGTTTTACTGCCCTCTTGGTGAGAGTTTTTCCTAATATCCAACCTCGCGACTGTGGCATTGATGCCTGCACAGTCAGATGGATTGCAGATCGGCTGCAGGGTTGCGCTCAGAGGGTGGCGGTGGACGGGTCATATTCGACCTGGGGGGAAGTGGGCAGCGGAGTCCCCCAGGGCTCGGTCCT